TGCTAATGATTTATAATTCAAAACACAATTTCTTAGAATGTTAAAAGTATAGATTATATATTAGCGCTTGCGAACCTTGATATTCATGAGTAAAGTTCTTTGGACATTAATGCACAGTTTAAGAATGTTGGTCCCGTCCTCTCTTTCCAAAACATCCAGGTACAGAGTGTTACCTATGTTCCATTTAAGATTCAAAGTTCACTATGAACTTGTCCCTACAGATGTTCGTAAAATTGTATCCTTCTATCTGATGTACAACAACAACAACCCAGTTACCCTTCTATCTGATGTGGGTGTGTGTATTTGATTCTAATACATATCCACATCTATTTGTTATCCAATTTTTTTAATATAGTATCCTCAAATGCTGTATTTCTTAACATATTTTTGTTGGTTTTTTTTTGTTTTGGATGTTTGTATACAACTTGTGGATTATTTTATGCTTTACACCTCATCAAATTTTATGATTGTATTTTGTAGAGGTTTTGGACTCTGACATCTCGAAATATTTTGAATTGGCTGATTCTGAATGGAATGAGATAAAGTTGGACAATGTATCTCCCGAATCATTTCGACCAATTTGTTGGGATTGGCATTGGGATCGAGATGACTCTAATCCAGATCAACTCACGCTCATTGATTGAACTTCGCTTTTGCAAGGGAGCGAAGTGTAAAGTTTTTCCATGTCTACTCTATAAGGGATGTATTGTATTCATATTTTAAAGTAAGAAATTTCTATTCATTTTTTTAAGTATTCATGAAGTATGTATGAATATATAGATTTTTATGTACATATTCAAAAATTGTAAATGTTATATGAATAATTTTTGTTCATTTATAAAAATTAATAGATTCTTGTACAAAGAAATTTATTTAAAATTATAAATAAGGCATCATTGCGAATATATCATTCAAATCAAATATTGCAACAATAATGCGAGTATTTGTTATTAAAAAAGTATGTACTCTGAATTTAATATAAAAAAAATTAATCATACTTGTCATTGACATTTTGATCATGTTCTTTTGTGTTCTAACTTTTAAATTATATCCCTTCCGTTCAAAAATGTTTTTCTTACTTTCTTTTTTCAGCAGTCCAATTTTTTTTTCGTTTTCTATTTTGATAAATATTTTTAAAGCAAATACCCTATCTACCCTTAGAATGAATACCACCCCACCACAACAAACCTAATCTAAATAAATAACCTTATCTTCTCAATCCTTTCCTTCTTCAATCGTAAATACAGTCAATTACTCTGTATCATTTTTCACCCGAATAATCATATTCTTCTTCCACCAGAACTATAATCGTCGTCCTCTTTCCGATCTGAGTCTCCTTCACCACTGTCAACAACGACGCCAGCCTCGCCTCTTGTCGCTAAATCCAACACGGATCCTCTCATCGCCGCACAATCCATAGTGTTCAGATCTTTTCTTCAACATCTAATCTAGCCGGTCAGATATTGTACGGATTTTTCAGACAATGGCTGAGGGGTACTCCAGATAAGAGGTGGACACGGTCCTCTGATACGAATATCAAATCGGATAAGAAAGAACTTCGAGCGTCTTCGGGCTCCAAGAAAGGGAAGACAAAGAGAGAGGAAAATGTTGAATGTTTCCAGACTCCAAGAGAATAGAAATGAAGATTGATAATAATTCTTGAATTGATTGATTGAATAGTTCTGGGAGATAGTACATAAATAGATCTCAAAACCCTAAACCACTTCAAACTCTAAAAGGTTACTAATTAAGACAAGAATCTAATTAATAATCTAACAATAATAATACTCTCTAATAATAATAATAATAATAATAATAATAATAATAATAATAATAATAATAATAATAATAATAATACTCTCTCCGTCCACAAATAAACTTTACATTACGCGTTATGATGTTTGACTGAAGTTATTTTTAAATCATTTTATATGAAAAATGGTGTAGAATTGAAAAATAAAAATTACTCCCTCCATCCCCCTGTATTTGTCCACATTTGACTTTTGGAACTGTTCATCTAAGCACTTTGACTCATCAAATTCTCTCAATGTGTAAGCCTAAATATAGTCATGTGTGATCTTGTTTGATTTGTCTTAACATATAGATTATTCATATATAATTTTTATAATTTTTTAATATACAAATTACAAGATAAAATGGATTAAAGAAGTGCATTGGATGGTGTGTAAAAATGAAAGTGGACAAATACAGGGGGCGGAGGGAGTACATATTAAAAAACTATATCAAAAAATCTACAAAACTAGAGGTGACATGACTATATTATTTAATTTTATCAAATGGGTGACGAAAATAGGCCAACAAAGTGAATAAAGTTTGACCCTGTGAATAGTGAACGTAAAGTTTATTTGTGGACGGAGGGAGTAATAATAATAATTAATAATAATAATAATAATAATAATAATAATAATAATAATAATAATAATAATAATAATAATAACAACAACAACAACAACAATAACAACAACAACAACAAATAATAATAATGTACTAAACCATATGTAACACTCTCACCTCCTTAAAACTCACCTAGTATTCAAGGTGGAGGTTGCCACTCATGTTTGTGGATAGCTTCTAGATATGAGAGAAAGTGCTAAACCAAAGAAGACGTCCATCTGTAGACCATTTTTCAAGAAGCGTGCCTGTGGAAATATAGCGGTGGAACATGATTGAAGACCAAACCTGTATGGAATCACCCCTTTGGGAATTAGGTATTCACACTCGACAACATCAACACTATCAAACAATTGGATATTGTCAAACAAAGTTGAATTGTCAACTTGCACACAATCTTCATCCACTACCTGGTCTATATTTTGCAGAACTTCATACTCTTCGTCGTCCATAGCACGTGATGCACTTAATTGCATGTGTCTCAAAAATTGCAGGATCTAGCTTTGACAACTCATCATCTTTAGAAACTTTTTTAGGATCAATATCAATTTTCTGTAGGGGCCTGACTTGGTGGAGGAATTGGAGCAGTAATGAGAGTCCTTAAAGCGCATAAGATGTGTGTTTTGAAAGCTTGTAATTCCAAAGGAATTTGACTCAATGCAATTGGGAGACCCCGAACCAAGTCTTGCACTGAGCAAATTTTTTTACATTGAACTCATATAAGGCAATTTTTTTTACATTGAACTCATATAAGGCAAAGTCAAAATTTAAATGACTTGTATTCAGATGGCACAACTGGAGCTTCTTTATAATTTCATATATATGATCATAAAGTGCACATACTCCATCGTCATGCTCAATTTTCCCAATGTTGGGTTTTAGAACCCGGGACCTTGGAAACTAGGTGGAAGAGTATCGAACGAGTATTGAGTGCGTTAAGTTGCAAGATTCGAGAAAAGTATATTAACTCGATAGTAAAAGTGAACCTGTATCTCCTCCTCCCAGGAGGGGCATTTATACAAAATATAATTGGGCCTCCTGACCGTTTGTCTATGGCCTAATGGGCCGGACCCATCAGGATCCAGCCATTCGACCGACGACGCCAACAATATGATTACAAGCTAGGGTGGTTACAAATGATGGATAACAATAAAGCGGCTACAACTAATTATGACAGACAAATGCATCAGTGTGTCCAATCGCGGGCCCGCTGATTGGACAAGACCTGCAAGCCACCATGCCCTAGTGGGCCCTGACGTGTGGCTGGCGGTTGAGCGCACAATAGCTATTGGAGGTCATCCATGGAGGTCCGACCTGGTCGGACTCAAGCCGGAGTAGGCGTTGCCTAGCTGAGCAGGGGATATGTATCCAAATGTGGTTGTCACCTTGAGACCTTGGTTTCTTCATGAAATATGCTTAGCCGAGCGGGGACCCTTAGCCGAGCAAATACAAATCGTTGCGGCAGATAAGCGGGAAAGAAATATAATTGGCCTGCTGCTGAAACTTCCTTCTCTTAAAAAAAATCAACAGAACGGCAGTAACCATTTTGGATGGCTTGCCTTCGGCTAATCTTGTTGCCGCGGCAGATTTGTTTGTTTTATCAATTAGGACACACAATTTTTGGTAGTTATTTGGGTTAGTTACTAAGGGGGAGACCTAGTGATTATTTTGTTTATTCTTTGTTGGCCTTATCCTTGTGACAAAAACAAATAAGTAGGAATGTTTATTTGTTCTTTTTAGCTGATTGGATGTAGAGTCCTGCTGTGTCATGTTTGGGTTTAGAGTTTATTCCTACGAGCTGGAGAAGACTTCCTCCTGAGAAGGGATTCCTGCGAAGCTGTCCAGAGTCCCATGCAGACCGGGAATAAGATTTGCTGGAGAGTTCAAGTATGATCATGACTAGGGTTTTCCCGTGCTCACACATATTATATGCACATGATCTCATACAGAAGGTAGGGAGAATAGACATACTTCCAGCGAGAGATTGAGAGATCCATAAACCCTAGCTGCAAAAGGAGATCAGAAGAGAACCATGTTTGGTTCTTTCTGATATACGGTTCTGTTGTGAGCAAAAGAAGTTTGTGGCCTGTTCGCAGATCATATTGCAGATCCATGATTGGTTTTGATGAAAACCACATCCAGCTGGTGAACTAGGAAGGGCTGGAGAAAGGGCTGTCAGCACGTCCAATAACAAGAAGTTATCAAGGTTGGTGTAATATGCCATTGGGAGAAACACTAACAGAGTTATGTGTTTAAGTCATCTGTAGTAGATTAGTTCAATCCACTGATTGGTACCTACGGTGGTTGAAGTTGTAATCTTTGCAGTGATTTAGTGGACGGGCTATTACACGGACGTGGGCCCCGCAGAGTAGGAGAATTGCTCCGAACTGCGTAAACAATTCTTGTGTCTGTTTTACTGTTTTTTATTTCTCTTGCTGCGTGTGACTGGTTGTGACAGAGGGAGTGTTTTAGCACTTTGCTTATCACAGCAATCGGAGTGTGTGTGTGGTTGACGAGAATTGTTCACAGAGAGTACTTCCTCCTGTAACTAGAATCACTATAACATTTTCAATTGGTATCAGAGCAGTTAAGCTTAAGTTACTAGCTTGATCCATCATGGGGGACATGGAGGAAGGTGCAAATGTTCAACGACCACCACTGTTGCGTGGACCAAATTACAATTTTTGGAAGGGGCGCATGAGAGCTTTCTTAAAGTCCCAAGGTGGGAGAGTTTGGAGAAGCATAGAAACTGGATGGACAGAACCCACAGAGACCAACACAGAAGGAGAGAAGGTGGCAAAATCCCTTGAGAAATACTCAAAGGAAGAAGCAACACTGGCTGAATGCAATGATAAGGCACTAAATGCACTATTTGGGGCAGTTGATAGCTCACAGTACCGACTCATTTCGAATTGCACTGAAGCAAAGAAGGCCTGGGAGATCCTCGAAACCACTCACGAAGGAGATGAACGAGTAAAAACTGCTAAACTACAAATTCTTATGACGAAATATGAGAATCTGTGTATGGATGATAAAGAAAAAATAGCAGAATTTCATGGGAGAGTAAGAGAACTGGCAAATGAGGCTGAAAATCTGAAAAGGCCTTTCACAAAAGATAGTCTAGTGTTGAAGGTACTGAGAGCCTTACCCGAGAGCTATGCAATGGATGCCAAAGCTATTCGCCAAGCACATGACATAAAGAACATGACACTTGATCAGCTGATGGGTAATCTTGAGACCATTGAGCTTCAAATGAACGAAGAAATTAACCAGAAGAAGAGTGTCAAACATATTGCATTCCACAGCCACAATACTGAAGAAGAAGATGATGATGAGGATCCATCAGATGGAGATTATCAAGAACAGTTATCCCTCATCACCAAGCAGTTCAAGAAGCAATGGATGCAAAAGAAAGGAAGAACAAATTATCAAGCTGAATCTTCAAAGGGTTTTCAATTTAGAAATCCAAGGTCAAAGGAGAGCAAGGCCCCAGCTGATGACTCCAAACGAAGAGGACCTCAATGCTTTGAATGTGGGGGTTTTGGGAATATACAATCAGAATGTGCAAATAATCTCAAAAAGAAACGGCAAGCTTTTGTGTCAACATAGAGCGATGAAGAAGATGACTCTGAAGAAGTCCGATGGAACAACAACTGTGCATTCAGTACTCAAACACATAATGAAGATACTCAAACACATAATGAAGATCCAGACAGCCTCACTAACCGACTTGTGGTGCTGCAGGAAGAGTTGGATAGCCTTCATAAAAAGCTTGATGAAACCATGCAGCAACTGGAACAGGTTGAAGGTGAAAAGGCAAATCTAAACTATGAACTCACTCAACTTAAAAGCTATCAAAAGTGGATGAAGAGTGTAGGTGCAGAACAGATTGAAGACCTCGTAGACAAGTCAAGGTTCTATGGAGACAGAACTGGCATTGGTCATACTCTACCAGAGAGCAGCAAAACACCCCTTGATTTGTTTGTAACAAGATCAAAGATTGCTGCTGAAGAACTGAAAGAATACAACAGAGACAAGAAGGAAGCACTCCAGCCTACTCACATTCATGTAAGAAAACGCTCTCCCTCTAACTATTACTGGAATCATATTTGTTTCTACTGCAGGAAAAAATGACACATTAAAAGACAGTGCCACCAGCTGAAGTACAGAAGAAGAAAGAAGGGTAAGTCAAAAGGTCTCACTAGAACTGTAATGAAGTGGATACCAAAACACATGGCCTCAAGCGCCAACTCATGTCTTAGAGTCACACCAGACAAATGGCTGCTTGATAGTGGGTGTTTACATCACATGGCTGGAGATAAACAGAACTTATCAAACATTCAACCAATAGAAGGAGGAAATGTACGTTTTGGTGGCGGTGCACATGGACAGATCATTGGGAATGGAACACTGCATGTCTCAGGGCTACCACCAATCAAAAATGTATGGCTGGTCCAAGGACTAGAGGTAAATCTGCTAAGCATTAGTCAAATCTATGACCAAGGACTGGAAGTGGTATTCACTCAACAAAAGTGCCGCATCAAGGACAGAAACAAATTTGTTGTCTTGGAAGGTGACAGAACCACAAACAATTGTTACAGAGTCACTCCAAATATACTTTGCTACACAGCCAGTGAGAGGGATGCAAAATTATGGCACTATAGACTTGGACATATGAACTACAAGGACCTTAAGACCTTGTCTGGCTCTGGAGTAGTTCGAGGGATGCCCAAAATCACTCAAGTTAATGATCAAGTATGTGGACCATGTCAAATGGGGAAACAAACACGAGCAAGCCATCCTAAAAAACCTACGAGGTCAACAAGTCGTCCTTTGGAGCTCATCCATATTGATCTGTTCGGCCCCATGCAAACTGAAAGCCTAGGCAGGAAAAGATTTGTCCTCATGGTCGTGGATGACTTCACAAGGTATACGTGGGTCAATTTTTTAAAACACAAAGATGATGCACTAAATACCTTTGAAGCGCTATGCAACAAGGTCCAGAATGAGAAACAACTGAAGATTAAGAAGGTCATCAGAGTACGCAGTGACCATGGAGGGGAGTTTGACAATGGGCCTTTCGAAGAATTTTGTGATCTGCATGGCATCTGGCATGAATTCTCAGCACCAAAAACTCCACAACAAAACGGGGTGGCAGAAAGGAAAAATCGACATGTTCAAGAAATGGCACGCACAATGATCAGCACATATGGACTACCACAAAATTTGTGGGCTGAAGCAGTTCATACAGCATGCTACACCATCAATCGTGTATACTTTAGGAGTGGAACAATGGCTACACCCTATGAACTGTGGAAAGGGAGAACACCAAGCATAGCCCACTTTCACATTTTCGGGGCAAGGTGTTACATCCTAAGAGACCGGGAGCAGAAAGGGAAGTTTAAGCCAAAGAGCGATGAGGCTATTTTTGTTGGATACTCACCAAACAGCAAGGCTTATCGAGTATACAACAAACGAACAAGAACTATAATGGAGTCAATAAATGTTGTGGTAGATGACCAGCTCCAGCACAAGGCAACAGATGACTCACTAGAGGTGGATATCTCTGAGAAAATGCTAGAAGAAGACACCGGGGATGAAGAAATTGAGAAAGGTGATTCTCCAGAGATCCAAACTGATTGCCCCATAACCAGTAGTGTTCCCACACACATTCAGAAGAAGCACCCTCTAGAAAACATCATAGGGTCACCCACCGAAGGGATGAAGACACGGAAAAAGAAGATTGACTTCCTAGAGATGACAAAAGCTTACTATACATCATCCTTGGAGCCCAAAAACATCAAAGAAGCACTGACAGAAGAAGCATGGATAAACGCCATGCATGAGGAGCTAGAGCAGTTTGAAAGAAATAAAGTCTGGGAACTGGTTCCTAAACCAGAGAACACAAACATCATTGGCACGAAGTGGATATATCAAAACAAAACAGATGAAGCAGGAAATGTCATCAGAAACAAGGCTCGCTTGGTTGCCCAAGGATACACACAGATGGAGGGGATTGACTTTGAGGAAACTTTTGCACCAGTGGCTCGCCTTGAATCAATACGCATGCTCATAAGCATGGCCTGCATTCTAGACATGAAATTATATCAAATGGATGTCAAGACCGCATTTCTGAATGGATGCCTAAAGGAAGAAGTGTATGTGTCACAACCAAAAGGATTCGAAGATTTCAAGCACCCAGACTACGTTTACAAACTACACAAGGCTCTATATGGGCTGAAGCAGGCACCTAGGGCATGGTACGAACGGTTAACTTCCTATCTAATCAAGGAAGGATATAAGAGAGGGGAGCAGACAATACCATGTTCTATATATGGCACAAATCTGATTTACTGGTTGCACAGATTTATGTGGATGACATTGTGTTTGGATCCACCTCCAAAGCAAAGGCTGATGAATTTGTAAACGTGATGGAAAAAGAGTTTGAGATGAGCATGATAGGCGAATTGACCTTCTTCCTGGGGTTACAAATAAAACAAACTGATGAAGGAATATTCATATCTCAGACCAAATATGCACAGAACATGTTGAAGAAATTTGAGATGAGTGACAGTAAGAGTGCTAGAACACCATGTCCAACACACGAGAAAATCAGCATGGATGACAATGGGAAGGAGATTGATGCTACACGCTACAGAGGCATCATAGGGAGTCTACTATATCTAACAGCAAGTAGACCAGATCTATCTTACAGTGTTGGAGTTTGCGCTAGATATCAGGCCAATCCCAAGGAGTCACATCTCAAAGCCGTCAAAAGAATACTAAAATATGTCAAAGGCACTCAAAACATGGGTTTATGGTATTCAAAAGGAGGAATGGCAGAGCTTATGGCCTATAGTGATGCAGACTGGGCAGGTAATATAGACGACAGAAAAAGCACATCAGGAGGGTACTTCTTTCTAGGAGGAAATCTTGTAGCATGGTTGAGCAAGAAACAGAACTCTGTGTCACTTTCCACGGCAGAAGCAGAATACATAGGGGCAGGCAGTTGCTGTGCACAACTATTATGGATGAAAACCATACTCAGTGACTACGGTGTGGACCATGACACCATTCCTCTGTACTGTGACAATATAAGTGCCATCAGTAAATCAAAGAATCCAGTACTGCACTCCCGAACCAAACACATTGGCATCAAGCATCACTTTATACGGGAACTTGTTGAGAAAAAAATTGTGAGTTTAGAACACGTGTCCACAGAAGAGGAACTCGCTGATATATTCACCAAAGCACTTGATGGTGATAGGTTCGAAACACTCAGATCAAAATTGGGTCTATGTGCTCCTTACTGATGGGGTAATTTGTAAAAAGGTGACACATCTAGTTATAAGTGCACACGTGGAGATATTAAAAGACAGAAATTGCACATGCAGCACGCCTATCTGTATACGGCACTGTGTCACCAAAAACGAAGAGACCCAAAAGATTGAATTTAAAAAAAAGCCATACAAAATCCAAAAGCCTCGTCTCCTTCGTCATTCTTCCCCAAATCTCAAACCAAATCTCAAAGTTTACAGAAATCTCTCAAGAGAACATCAAGAAATGGTGCGAACCAAGATCGCAGTCCCTCAGAAGTGGAAGAATGTGCATGCAACGAAGAAAAGAGTAAGTCTCATTCAAAAGTTTGCTCAAGCTAGGGCAAATCTGCGGGCGAAAATCTCACAAACTGATGAAGGTTCATCCTCCTTGAAACAAAATCCAGAAAGTGAGACTGCCATGGAGCATGAAGAAGTTCAAAAAGCACCGAAAAATGGAGACCTGTTAAACAAAGAGCAAGATGAAGCACCACTCCATCCAGATCCTCCTACCATCATGTTGCTAGAATACAAAACAACAACACCCCTCGAGGAACAACACCAACATGCAGAGGTAGATGAAGAATTCCAAACCTTACTGGATGAAGAACCACTTCTAGCAGTGTCTGAAGTACCATTCAAGAAGACTGAAACTCAAGACCGCACCCCTCGCAGCTCCAAAAAGAAGGCAAAAGGGCAAAATCCCGTTCTTTGGTCAAAACGGAAAACCAGATCTGAGGCAGTCATGAAAGAAGAGTCTCCTCCATCAACCAAGAAGACCAGAACAAGCTCTCCAAGTCCATCCAAAATGTCAAGGTCAAAAAGGGGTAAAGATCTGAATCATCACTCAGGGAAGTCCTCAACTCATATTTTTGTCACTACTCCTGCTAAATCTTATTTGCCTGCAATTATGAAGAAGAACATTCTGCCCCAGCATAATATTGATTTGGAAGATTTTGCTTTGAAAACCACACTCATTCCTCTGTTAGATGCCAGGAACTTTTTGAAATCAGTTACCCTCCCTGGTTCATATGTCAAACAAGTCATCTATGAGTTCTATTGCAATTTGAGTGAAGATTTTGTGAACCCTGCTGCTGTGTCTTTTGAAAAAGTGTTTGTCAGAGGAAAACTATACACCTTTTCGTCTACTGCTGTCAACAAGTTTTTGGGATTAGATGATGATCAGGATGCACTGGTAAGTGAGGTCACAATGTGGAAGGAACTCACTCACGGAACCAGGAAAAGCCAACACCCCTCCAACAAAGTTCCCTCATCAATTCTGAATAGCTCCTACTCTATCTTGCTCAGAGTTGCTGCGTGTCACTGGCTAGCCACCTTTCATACCAACACAATGACAAAAACCATGAGCATGCTTTTGTACAAGATCAAAAACAATGTTCCTATTAACCTAGGAAAGCTGATAGTTGCTCAAATAGCTTAGTTTAGGAAACACAACTATAAGCACAATGATAATGGTCTGCCCTTTCCTGTGCTAATCTTCCAGATGCTTGTCTCACAGGGTTTTAACAAGAAGGATGGTGAACAAGAGGAGCCCTTGGAGCCACTAATGCAGATTGATAACCGACATTTTGATGGAAAGCATTTCAATGACATGAAGGTAGCTGATCAGGAAACACATGGAGTGCTTGGTGTACTCAAGTATCTGGAACATAAACTGCAGCAAAACAAGGAAGCACTTCTCCTGGTGGACCGACAGAGGAAAGTTCCTTGAAGAGGAGCGGCGAAGTCTCATATGGTTGTAAGAGAATGCTGCACAGAGTGCTCAAGCAGAAGGTACATCATTTCAGGGGGAGAGTTCAGAGGAGGAGGAAGACACTGCTACAGATTCCTCAGCCTGAGGGGAAATCTTTTCGATAAACTCTTTACAAGCTTCAATTTGACATTAATTATGGTTGGGTTGTTCTGCCCTGTTACTGGTTTGAAGACATATCGCACTGTTGGTTCTTTTGCTATGACTGCTATTTTTTGAATGGTTCAAACTTGGTCTTATTTATCTACATCTGTGCTCGCTTTTGGTCATCTACAAGTTTCCTTTCAATATTCTTGTGCATCTCTATGACATGGTGTAGGTACATCCTTCAGCTTAAGAGATAGGTGTTCTAGTGAGTTTTTGTACTCCTCTTGCTCAAGTGTTGAATATTACTCTTCTCTATTCCCAATTACCTTTTTAATAAACGTTGGCTCATTTTTGAACAAAAAAGGAGGAGAAGAGGTTCAACAGGCCAGAGGGTCTAGTGTATTTGTTTTTGTCCAAAAGGATGGCCAAATGGGGAGATTGTTAGTTATTTGGGTTAGTTACTAAGGGGGAGACCTAGTGATTATTTTGTTTATTCTTTGTTGGCCTTATCCTTGTGACAAAAACAAATAAGTAAGAATGTTTATTTGTTCTTTTTAGCTGATTGGATTTAGAGTCCTGCTGTGTCATGTTTGGGTTTAGAGTCTATTCCTACGAGCTGGAGAAGACTTACTCCTGAGAAGGGATTCCTGCGAAGCTATCCAGAGTCCCATGCAGACCGGGAATAAGATTTGCTGGAGAGTTCAAGTATGATCATGACTAGGGTTTTCCCGTGCTCACACATATTATATGCACATGATCTCATACAGAAGGTAGGGAGAATAGACATACTTCCAGCGGGAGATTGAGAGAGCCATAAACCCTAGCTGCAAAAGGAGATCAGAAGAGAACCATGTTTGGTTCTTTCTGATATACGGTGCTGTTGTGAGCAAAAGAAGTTTGTGGCCTGTTCGCAGATCATATTGCAGATCCATGATTGGTTTTGATGAAAACCACATCCAGCTGGTGAACTAGGAAGGGCTGGAGAAAGGGCTGTCAGCACGTCCAATAACAAGAAGTTATCAAGGTTGGTGTAATATGCCATTGGGAGAAACACTAACAGAGTTATGTGTTTAAGTCATCTGTAGTAGATTAGTTCAATCCACTGATTGGTACCTACGGTGGTTGAAGTTGTAATCTTTGCAGTGATTTAGTGGACGGGCTATTACACGGACGTGGGCCCCGCAGAGTAGGAGAATTGCTCCGAACTGCGTAAACAATTCTTGTGTCTGTTTTACTGTTTTTTATTTCTCTTGCTGCGTGTGACTGGTTGTGACAGAGGGAGTGTTTTAGCACTTTGCTTATCACAGCAATCGGAGTGTGTGTGTGGTTGACGAGAATTGTTCACAGAGAGGACTTCCTCCTGTGACTAGAATCACTATAACATTTTCAATTTTGGCGGCTAATTTTGATTGGGTACGACAACTCCCTTTATTGGAGTCCTTTTTGTGGTGGGTAGAAATGGATGGCGGCAAATTGGCGATGAAAATCAAGAGTTGTTGGGTGACGGTGGTTCAAAAAATTGTGGTTGGGTACCCCAATTTTGTAATAAGAACTCGCAAGTCCCATTATTTTTCAAAATATAGACTGAGTTATCTTAAGATATTCGAAAAGTGATTATGAGGTGACAATCCGTCTCTCTCCCCGTTAACATCCCTTCTCCGTTATCTTCTTCTCCTTCTATCATCTTTTATTCAAAGCGTGTGCATAGGTGGCACATGGGGGGAGTATATTTTTTTGAACTTTATCGGTCATCTATTTGTTTATTACTCATCTTGAACCTCATCAAGTGGTATGAAAGAGAGTCTCATTATGCAATATCTTTCCAAGAAATTACTATTGTTTGAAGAGAATTAGCGGGCAATGGATATAAAGTCTTGTATTTGTGTACATGTCACATGAAGCAATAAGTAAGAGGCTACGGGTAATGGACCATATTAGAATAATAGTATGAGATGTGCATACGCGCATTTGGTTCCCAAAAGGGACGATTCACATATGTTTCCGAGGAGTTTGTTTATGCTAAGAAGTGAGTTTCTTATTGTCCTTGTTAAAGTAGACACATTCAAATGGGAGAGAGAGTACTTTGTATTTTTATATCAAATAAAATACTCTTCCCAAATTTTTGGTTTTATGTGGGAAGGATTAGATTTTGTGATAGCTGAGGCAAAGAAGTATGGGAATATGGTGATTTCTTTAGAAACTCACTTGTGAAGGCCTACTACAAAAACCAAAGTGCTTCTTTGGTGGATCTAAGGTCCATCTCATTTTTGATAGACTTTCAATGACTATGGTAAGCAAATACTTATTTCCCTTAGATTAGCATTTTTTCCATATTCTTTTGTCTAATGCTATGTTAAAAATTCATTGGAATTTTTATTTTCGAATGTGTACAAAAGAACATCTGAACCGCTTCCTCTTGAACTAATCCGTGCGAATAGACACGACTTTTGGAGAGAGGCGCACCCGGTTGTTCTCGTTCTTACATGCGTCCATAAAGTCGATTGCAAGATTGGTCAAGGAGAGAGCTTAAAAAATCACCACAGAAGTTCCTCACATTGTTCTTCAATATCTCTTTGAGTTGTATTCGATCGAAGATTCGTGCCAAACGCCGAGTGAATACATGCCTTTTAGATAATCCAAGTACTGATTCGGTTTTCTAAGAATCTCGAAAAACTTTTGGAGTTTGTAGAGAAGCTAATTATTGTGGAATATAATGTTATATATATATATATATATATATATATATATATATATATATATATATATATATATATATATATATATATATATATATTAGACCAGGTTGGGAAATATTAAAAAAAAACTAAATTCATTTATCATAATTTGTACTCTCTCCGTGCCAAATTATAATGTTTGTTCACTATTCACAGGGTCAAACTTCATTCACTTTCTTTCTCTATTTTCGTTAATAATTTGATAAAATAAAGTATCATTGTCACTACTTGTTTTGTAGATTTTTTGATATAGTATTTTAATATGTAATTTTTATTTTTTAACTCAATACCATTTGTCAAATAAAATGATTTGAAAATAATTTTAGTCAAACATCGTAAACCGAAATAGGCACTATAAATTGGGACGGAGGGAGTACTTTGTAAGCACCACAAAAGGATTGTAGAAGAAAGAGCTCTCACCGAAGGACAGAGAAGGCGCATGAAAAAAAAACTCCGCTGCCGGTGGTTGAACCCGGTTGAATTGACTGAGATTTTCAATAAGCCTGCGCTACAGCGGAAATCAGAAGAACTGTTGTATGTCCTGCATAATTTTTTTATATAAATCAATTTAGGGCCCATTTGATGTGGAAGCCAAGTCCGAAGTACTGAAGTGGATTTTTTTGACAAGTACGGAGTAGTAATTTTTTATTCAGATTATTATTTTCCCGTGTATGCCTACTTTTATTAAGATCAAAATATTTTCAATAAATTTATGTAGATAAAAATAAATGAGTAAATTCCATAATTGATCCTTTATAAAAAAAAGGTTTCCATATTTAGTCCTCTATTATTAAATGTTACCTCCGTAGTTCTTCTTTTATGAGTCCCTTTTCATAAATGGTCCTTTCTTTTTTATCTTCTGTCATTTTGGTGTTAATTTCAAAACTAAAAATATAATTTGACATAAACCTTATATATGTCCAGTAACGTATTCTGATATTGGTTAGACGGATAACACAAAAAAAGACTGATTGTGGGTTGTGATTCCGACAAAAGAACACATATGTAGACTATGGTTGTAGTACAAAGCGACTATAATTCACAAGCGACGCATTAAAAGCGGGCTTTGGATTGGGTATGACAAGAAAAATTTATTATCATTGTGAAATTATACTTTTAGCCCTCAAATTAACACTAACATGATAGAAGATAAAAAAAGAACTATTTGGGGAAAGATACACATAAAAGAAGGACGACCGGGGTAATATTTGATAACAGAGAACAAATTAGTAAAACTCCACCTGTTATAAAGGACCAATTATGAAATTTACTCAAAATAAATTTATAACATTTGAAACTCCCCACTATTGAAAGAGAAAACGAAAAAAAAAAAGAAAATGCGTGAAGAACCACTAAGAGTGTGAGAAAGTTATTAGGATAAGTGATGTGATGTTAAAATATTAATACTCCGTAGGGCATTTGATATGCTAGGGGAATGCCGTCTCTTGTATTGTGGGAAGTAGTGCGCGCCCCGCGTGTTTGGAGTAGATAATTTTTGGTGTAAGTTTAGCACGGTCCTTTTGAAAAACATTTGGTGCTTGGATGACTAGAAGGTCGAAATCGGAATAGGGTCTGCAGGTGGGTGGTGGCAAAACCGCAGAGAAGACAAGTTTGATAATCCTGGCCACAAAGAACAATACGGGACCCACTTTTGTTTGCAAATCAAATTTGTTGCAGGGAGTCGATCGTTGCTAGGCTATAGTTGAATTGTCGGCAGGACTGTGATTTGGAACAAAGGATTGCTGTTGAGTTGTTCTTCCTTTTTTGGTGCTGTTTGGCTGCTCTGATTCAGAAAGAATTTGTGGCAAACAAAACCCAAATCAACTCCTCCAAGCAACCTTAATCATCAGCGGGAAAGAAATATAATTGGCCTGCCTTCGGCTAATCTTGTTGCGGCGGCAGATTTGTTTGTTTTATCAATTAGGACACACAATTTTGGTGGTTCCCGAAAGGGACGATTCACATATGTTTCCGAGGAGTTTGTTTATGCTGCCAAGTGAGTTTCTTATTGTCCTTGTTAAAGTAGACACATTCAAACAAAATATTCTTCCCAAATATTTGGTTTTATGTGTGGGAGGGATTAGATTTTGTGATAGCTGAGGCAAAGTATGCATGGGAATATGGTGATTTCTTTAGAAACTCTCTTGTGAAGGCCTACTACAAAAACCAAAGTGCTTCTTTGGTGGATCTAATAAGGTCCATCTCATTTTAGATAAACTTTCAATCAGTATGGTAAGCAAATACTTACTTCCTTGATTAGCATTTTTTTTCATATCATTTTGCCTACTGCTATGTTAAAAATTCATTGGAATTTTTATTTTTGAAGGTGTACAAAAGAAAATCTGAACCACTTCCTCTTGAACTAATCCGTGCGAATAGACACGACCTTTGGAGAGAGGCGCCATCCGGTTGTTCTCGTTCTTATATGCGTCCATAAAATCGATTGCATGATTTGTCAAGGAGAGAGATTTGAAAATCACCACAGAAGTTCCTCACATTGTTCTTCAATATCTCTTTGAGTTGTATTCGATCGAAAGATTCGTGCCAACCGCCGCCTTTTAGATAATCCAAGTACTGATTCGGTTTTCTAAGAATTTATTGTAGAATATAATGTTATATATATATATATATATATATATTAGACCAGATTGGGAAATATTAAAAAAAACTAAATTCATTTATCATAATTTGTACTTTGCAAGCACCACAAAAGGATTGTAGAAGAAAGAGCTCTCACTGAAGGACAGAGAAGGCGCATGAAAAAGAAAATCCGCTGCTGGGGTTCGAACCCGGTTGAATTGAGTGAGATTTTCAATAAGCCTGCGCTACAGCGGAAATCAGAAGAATTGTTGTTTTGCATGCATAATTTTTATATATAAATCCATTTAGGGCCAATTTGATGTGGAAGCTAAGTACGAAGTACTGAAGTGGATTTTTTTACAACTACGGTGTAGTAATTTTTTTTATTAGATTATTATTTTCCCGTGTATGCCTACTTTAATTAAGATCAAAATATTTTCAATAAATTTAAGTTGCTTTTTAAAAATATAGTTTCGTATTTTTTATATTAAAAAATTATGTAGATAAAAATAAATGAGTAAATTTCATAATTGGTACTTTATAAAGAGAAGTTTTCATATTTAGTCCTCTATTATTAAATATTACTTCCGTAGTTTTTCTTTTATGAGTCCCTTTTCATAAATGGTCCTTTTTTATCTTTTGTCATGTTTGTGTCAATTTTAAAGCTAAAAATATAATTTGACATCAACCTTATGTCCAGTAACATATTCTGATATTGGTTATTAGAAGAATAACACAAAAATAAGACTATGATTGTGGGATAGGATTCCGACAAAAGAACACATCTGTAGACTATAGTTCTAGAAGAAAATAACTATAATTCACAAACGACACATTAAAAGCGGGCTTTGGATTGTGTATGACAAGAAAAATATATTATCATTGTGAAGTTACACTTTTAGCCCTCAAATTAACACTCACATGATAGAAGATAATAAAAAGAACTATTTGGGGAAAGATGCACATAAAAGAAGGACCACCGGAGTAATATTTGATAATAGAGAAAAACATAGAGAAAAGTACCAAATTAGGACTTTCATGTTTTTTTTCCCGGAATAGGACTTTGCATTGTGGTAATGTGACTTTGCATTGTGGTAATGTGGCAGTGTACATGTGCAAATTACTATACTTTCTTGGTAATGTATATGACCATGTTTGGTAATGTAAGTCCTATTTCGGGAATAAAAACATGGAAATCCTATTTTGGCATATCTTCCATGTTTTAGTCCTACTTTGGTCTTTCTCCCTTGAAACTCCCCACTATTGAAAGAGAAAACGAAAAAAAGGAAATGCGTGAAGAACCACTAATAGTGTGAGCAAAGTTATTAGGATAAGTGGTGTGATGTTAAAAAAAGAATAGAGTATTTGTACCATATGTCCGGATATACACCGTTTCTCATATAGTCGTATGAAAATATTCATTTTAGAGTAACAGAATATTCATTTTCGAGTAGACCAATACTCATTTTCGAGCATAACTATTTTTTTAATTAAGTATTTAGTAGCTTGAAAATTAGTGTTACGTTACTCGAATATGAGTACTCACAACGTATGTACGAGAAACACCGTACATCTTGTTGTACGATATATATTGCAAAGAGACTAAGAGAGTGAGAGAAAACTGAAGGAATTGAAATCACTAAAGATGCTCTTAGGCCATGAATAATGACAATCATATACTGGAATGCCACCCGTTGATGTGGCACGTACAATTCAACCAATTTAAAATAGTCTAGTCCTACAATGGCAAGACAAAATGGTGGCGTATTCTGCAGAAGCAAGCCATTATTTTTGTCAATATTAACACTTACTTTAATATTTTCTATCACTTAGTGAAGCCTAGGGGCATTTTATTTTTTGGATTTTTGTAAATATGTGTATGTTCTTGAGAAGATTTAAATTGTACCTATTATAAAAAATATTTTCTATTTTTACTTTTAACAAGAAATTTTGTAAATTCACTTTTCAATAATATCTTTTGCGTTCAAGAGAAGCTAATTTGGTCTTGTATAATGTTATATTTTTTTCCTGATCAAATTGGAAAATATAAAATGAGCTAAATTCTTTTATCGATAGTTCTAAATTTATTTACCCTGCATTACTCCTTATCCCTAATGATACTTAATACGGAGTAAGTTCTAAATCTATTCACCAATTGGTTATAGAAGGGTTCTAAATTCATTTATCACCTGTTGTTTATAATGTTTGACTGTAAATATTTTCAACTCAATTTATTTGAAAATTAGTGTAGAATTAAAAAATAAAATTTACATATCTAAAGCTAAATTAATTATTTTACAAAAATAGAGGTGATATGAAAACATTATTTTAACAAATGAGTAGCGAATCAAAAAATTAAATAAAATTACATTTTTAAAAATTACATCAAAAGTCTTACATCAACCAATTTGCTCTCAAGAATGCTTGAAAAACTTCACGGATCCTTGGCTAGCTATTAAGGTATGTAATAATAGATTTATAGCACTATGAATTTGATTTTTTTATTATTCTTATTAATATTGTACAGAGTAATTTTTCTTATTGTTCAAAAAATAATTTATAGATTTTACTTCATTATGACACAACGTCCTATTTTCTCAGTGCTATCCAGTACCCCTAATTTCTCGGAGACGGCTCTATGAATCAATTTACAAAAAGAAAAGAAAAAAGTGCATGGCAGTTAATAATGGAACTCTACCAGGTCGACCAATGGAGAGTCGAAAATATAGTGTAGGCTCTGTTGATCGAAGCGCATACGTGACTTGCATTTTCTCATGCCAATCCAAAGTGATTTTATTTGAGTTTACTAGTAAGTATATACTCTCTCCGTCCCAAAAAGATTGATACATATTGACTTTTTGGGAAATTAAGGGAAAGATATTTTGGTGTTGACTTTCCAAAAATACCTTTAATGTGATGGGTAAAAGTAGGATGTGATGAGTAAATTATTAGAAAAAAAGTATGATGTGACAGGTAGGGTATGAAAAAGTAAGGGGTAAAAGTGATTTTTTAATAGAAATGTAACGGACTTTACGGGACGCAGTTTTTTCGAAACGAGTCGGACTTTTTGGGACGGGGAAGTACTACACAAATAAAAAATACTACCTCCGTCCCGTTATATTCGTCCACTTTTGACTTTTGGAACTGTTCATCTAAGCACTTTGACTCATCAAATTCTCTCAATGTGTAAGCCTAAATATAGTCATGTGTGATCTTGTTTGCTTTGTCTTAACATATAGATTATTAACATATAATTTCTATAATTTTTTAATATACAAATTACAAGATAAAATGAATTAAAAAAGTGTATTGGATGGTGTGTAAAAATGAAAGTGGACAAATACTCTGGGACGGAGGGAGTATGTTTAAAGTGCACATTACTTTATCGATTCCATCTTCAAGCATCCAATTTTGTCTAGAACAGAAGAAATTGAGTAAAGAAAAACAAAAAATCACAGTATACAAAGAAGAAAGTAGATTCAAAGAAGAACAATAAAAAGTGATGAGATTAAATCCATTTATCAATAGTTCTGAATTTCTTTACCCCGCACTCCTCCAGATTTCTTCAAGCTCGCTCTCATGGCCGGGGAAATAAGGATTTATAGTACCGGAGTAATTCTGAACAAGAAACTGAGTCAACACAGTGTTAAACTCAGCTAAAAACTTACAGAATCTCAATCCAAATGGGAGAAAAGTACGAGGCAGCAATTAGGCACACAGAGAAACTGGTAAAATCGTCAACCCCAAATTGGAATGCAATGAACGCCACGTAGGGGGCGAGAGAACAGAAAGTGGTAAACCCTACCGTTGTTTGGAAGGGGGCAAAAAAAAATTTCCGCTGCTGGGGTTCGAACCCAGAAATTGATTAAGTCCATCAATAAGCCGTTGCTACGGCGGAACTGGACAAGTTTTTGCTCTTCACTTCATTTTATTTTTTTAAAAACCTTTTATTAGGCTTTTAAGCCGATTTGGTGTGCCAATGAGATAAGATTTGTATAAGATACCCACTATTAGATTTTGTTACGAGTAAATTCTTAAAATAATCCTCTTGATATTTTTTAAATTAGTTCTTAATAAGTTTTAATTACTTTTATCATACTTTGTTATAGAGATTTATTCTCTAATCAATCATTCGTAAAAATGTTGGCTTAGTAGAGGCTATTTTTCATCATCTAAAACTAGAGTGAGTAATCAAATTCATCATTTCTAATGAAGAATTTTTATAAAATGGTCTTTTCTAATTAATGAGGTGTATTTGTTTTAGATTTCAAAATATTTTGACAAATTTTTAATAATTCATGGATCATTTACAATATTTAATTTTCAAATTGTATAGAAATCACTATTTTGATAATTTATTTTAAGTTTAGATAATGGAAATATCAAAATACCCTCCATGTAATCATCATTTAAGTAACATTGTTTTGAATGATTAATTAAAAGACCGTTTTGGAACTTTACTCTTTTATTAACTACTCCGTGTTAATTTGTAACCAGATTTTTTTCTTGGCTATGTATATTTTTTTAATAATAAAATATCTTCCCATAAATTAAGTTACTTTTTTTTAAAAAATAAATCTCTATTTATTACTCCGTATATGGAGAATTTTTTTTGGAGAATTATGTAACTAAAAAGATAAAAGTTTCTTTATATAACTTTCCTTTATAAAATGGACGGTAAATAACTGAAGTTTAAAAATAAAAAAATTATTTTAATATTTTTTTCCTTTTTGGGAATAAATTATTTCTATAAATAGTCACACATCCCGTGCTG